GCAAGCTGCGCAGCAGCCTACCTGTGCGTGTATGCGCTGTGGTTCTGCACGTGTAGATCTGATGCTGAACCCATTATGTCTGTCAGATGTGCCTGTTTCCCGACGTGGTCTCCAAAGCAAAGTTAATTAACTCCTCTTCTACCAGAAACAGTAGGCAGAGCTGATCAAAGTCTCTCTGATTTTTGGGGGTCAGCTAAAGCTCTAATATGATCATGTAGTGAATTTTCAGATTTTCCTTGTAGTCTCGTGTTGCATGCATTTAGGATCACATGTGACAGATCTTTGATTCCTTGCTTTCAGAAAAAGGCTTTTTATGTACCTGTGGTAAGCTGGTTAGCTGAGCTGGTTTCTCTTCTAATATGACCCTGAAGATATAGCATGTGATAGGAACTTTCTCTTCTCAGCTGTAGATCAAGAACTCATTCAACAGAACACAATACTTTAAATTGCCTGCCTAAGCACGCAATGACTTCCTCTAAAACAAGCAGAAATATTAGCGGTTTTGGGGCGTTTTTTTAGATTTTTTTTTTTTTTTTTGAGTAGTTGGAAAAAGTAGCAAAGGACCTATTTATTCCCACCGCACATGTGTTTAATGGTTAAACTTATTTTAGATGCTGCTCAAAGAACCTTGGGGAGCTGAGCATTTATTAATCATGGCTTATTAGTGCATTGTGGTATGTCTAGTTTTTTCCCCCCTTCTTTCTGGTGTTAATTTGATTTAATTATGGTAAAGGAAAAGACAGATAAGTGGGATTATATGTCATTAATTAGTATAAAAGAGGAGATTTTTTCGTATTCGAAATAACACGTGACAAAATGTTTGTGGTTTTCTAATACAATGCAAATATTTCTTGGTGTTTGTGGCTTTTTTCCCTTGGCCTTCTGCATCTGTCTCAGCAGAGGTGAGAAATCTGAGGCTCTGGATATCCGCATACCACGTGAGAGACTGAATTCCTCATGGAGGGACTGCCTGAAGGGCTTAATAGCCAAAGTCTTTGTTCCTGACCTGGCCCTGAGTGATTCTGTTGTAGGCCTGTTTGCAGGCAGAACGCGGGGCTGGTGACCAGCACACCTGCGTCCCGCACAGCACGGCCCCTGCAGAGGTACTGGCTGGGGTCCTGAGAGCCAAAGGTCCATGTTTGTACAGTCTGAAGTGTGAACTCGTCAGGAAAGACAGTCCCATCAAACAATTTCCAGTTCAGGGCTTAGCATTGCATAGCGTATTTTTTCTGAAGCTAATCAGTCTCCGTTGCGTGGTATATCAGTAACTGACAGCCGGTGGCAGTGCCTGTCTCCATGTGATGGATGCCTGTCTGCTAGGATCTGCCTTGAAAGTAGCCCTCGTGTTATACGGTCCAGTGAGCAGCTGGCAGCAACACAGCTTCTACTGGTATGTCCTGGATTGAAATTAATAATTTACGTCTCTTAAGAGCTAAGCATCATGTGAAAGGATCTCCAGCCCTTCAGCAATCATTTGAACCGTTTATTTTATCTGTATTTTTCATGTAAATATAATTAATGTTTTTGCTGGAAAAATGAAAAATTACACTTTAATGAACATGGAAGAAAGTTTCTTCTCATGAAACAGGTACGGAGCTCCGAGGGATCTGTTTGCATGAAATTCAGCTCCATATTCCAGTAAAAGTCTAGTTGGAGGCCTGTAGCTAGTGGTGTTCCCCGGGGGTCAGTACTGGGCCCAGTCTTGTTTAACTTCTTCATCAATGACCTGGATGATGGGACAGAGCGTACCCTCAGCAAGTTTGCTCATGACACAAAACTGGCAGGAGTGGTGGATAGACCAGAAGGCTGTGCTGCCATTCAGTGAGACCTGGACAGGCTGGAGAGTTGGGCAGAGAGGAACCTGATGAGGTTCAGCAAGGGCAAGTGCAGGGTCCTGCACCTGGGGAGGAACAACCCCATGCACCAGTACAGGCTTGGGGCGGACCTGCTGCAGAGCAGCTCTGTGGAGAGGTGCCTGG